AGGTTTAGAAATCATTGACCCCCATCGTCGCAATACTAACAACCCCCCATCGGCGCACGAGACGACACCTGCTCAGTCATGTGTGCTCCGTTTCGGAGCTGCTGGAATCACATGCCGTATTCAAAAACGCTGCCCTATCAAACTCGTCTTCGTCTGCATACGCAAGAACTGCAGATGAGCGCCATTCGCCAGATTGCATCACCTGGAAAAGTGAATGGCCTTGTCGAGCTAAAGTGGCAGCCTTTCCAGCTCTCAAACACTTAAAAGAAAAAGCTTGGTAGTCAGGGACTTGTAAAAGTTTGAGCATGCTGCGAAACTTGGTAAGCGCCACAGAACTGGTGAAATTAAAAACCTTCTGACCCTCAGCCATGTTCACAACCCGTGTATGCAGCCGATGGCCGACACACATGGCATTCCTTTGGCTTGGGGTACAAACACACGGGCGAATCAACAGAGAACCCTGTGGCCTATGCTTACGTTGTCGCAACCTCAAATACAAAGTCCCCTCTTGATCAATGAAAAGTGACGAATGCCTGTTAGGTGGCAAAACATGCACTGTTTCATAAGAACCATATTCAAGCGGAATAGCTTCGCTTTGAACCCGCAGGAGCGCTTGCCAGCCAAGGAGCAAGAGGTCACCTAACAGTAAGAACAAACTAATTCCATCAGCCAAGATCAAAAGACGCAAGAGCAACTCTTCAGACATTAACCTGCGGCGTGATAGTGCGCCAGCTCTGGCTGACTGGTACTGCTTGTTCAATCCCTGCAAGGTCATGCTCAGCTCACTGCCATGCCACGTCAGAGGCAACGCCAAATATAGGCAGGCCCACTTGACATGTCCGACATAATTTCGGGCAGTTCCAGGGTTGCGAAAAATTGAAACAAAAAGACACACGTCAGTCTCGCTTTTCGGTGGCAAAGAAGCATGTTCACTGTATCCCAGCAACGTGGTGGCAAAAACATGCCAGAGGCGTAGGCCAGATGCTACACTCCTCAAGGACCCTTTGCGAGTTTGAAGTTTGAGACTTGCGACACCAGCATGGAGGTGCTCACGCGCTTCTTCTTTGGGCAACCGCGCCAGGCTCTTACACATCAGCAGAGGGCCTCCTTGAGACACTGGCACAGGCTCATCTATTCGAAGAGAGACCAAATTTTGAGCCACTACCTCCCCAGAAACTTGAGAGGGGGACTGACACTCCGCCTGCGTGGGCTGCTTGGCCACGTTGAGAGCTTCCACCGCTGACATCATCAGCGCCCGTAGCTTGGGGCTGGTTGAAAGTTTGCTCACGTCTTGTGAACGTACTCCAACTAGGTGACTGGGGTCTTGAAAGCCATGAGCCACCAGTAACAAAGCTGCCTCAAAGTGCCATGAGCAAACGGATGATGACCCTTCATGACGGTGAAAGAAATTTTGCATGATCTCAACTGCAGCTTCAAAAGTTGCAGCTTTGAGACCAGCAATTGGGTGCACCACCTTGTCGTTGTTGTGAGCGCGCTTCTTGCTGAGGCTTTTCCAGGAAGCGAGCAAATTCTGCCGCTTGCTGTGCCATTGTTCAGACAAGGAGCCCCACACTCTGTCTGTGTTCAACACAAAGCCAGCACCACTAGCAGTCAGAATAGCCCCATCAACTTTTAAACGTTCAGCAGCTCGCAATTTGGTCAGGAGAGTTGAGGAATCCTTTACCAGCCATGCTTTGACCACACTGTGCGTCCATTCTTGTGCAGCCAAGAGGTCGCTACTAAGGTGAGACATCGAATAACTTGAACCCGATGGCACAGAGCATGTAGGCACTGTTGGCGATTATCAGGAGGCACTCATTCGAGGGACTCACAGCAAGCAACCGAAACAAAGCATGAAAGTCGGTCCGCGAAAACTCAAAAAGAAAATGTTTTCACACTGCTGGCCCTGACCAAAAGTCAGCAACCCACTCTGGAAGCAGCGGCGGAACCCACTGAGCCTTCAACAAGGCTAAAGTTGCAAGGTCATTTCGCGTTGGGCCATCTGCAATGCCAGCAGAGCTTTCCACCCGCCCAACGTGCAATGCCACTCCAGATTTAGCCAATTCAAGCCACAGCCGACCCACACACATATGTGACTCAGGTCCACCGCCTCCGCCTTTGAGCAAAGCATGTAGTACCGTATTGTTGTCAACAAAAGCAAGCCACGCAGCTCCCTTAAGGAGAGGACAAAATGTTCCCCAAGCAAGAAGAAGCCCAAGCAGCTCCTGAAATTGTATTTGGTGGTCACCTCTGTCAAGCAACAACTTCCACAACTGCGCAGGAGTTTGCATTCGTGTGAACAAGAATTGCTGGTTGTGCCAAATCACTGCCGCAACCCATTTTGATTCGCCTGCAGCGTCTGACCAAATGACTACTTGCGTTCTTGCTGCGTCTGGGCATGTCCGGATTGATGTCGGACAACACTCCAAGTATTGCATGAACCACTGGCCGGCCCGGCGGAGCCATGGAGATAGTGAGCTCTGTGGCAATGGTTCGTGAGCCTGAGCATAAAAAGGCTTGATGTAGGCACGGCCAGCTCTATTCCCTGATGCAGTGACCGAAAAACTCAATCTGCCTGCCATCTTAGAAGCATCTCCTGCAGTCAGCACGTTGCTGTCAAGCATCTGCTGCAAAACAGCTTGGTATCTTTTTGCTTTGTCAGGATTTACACGTGTAAAGACCTTCTGCTCAGCCCAGGAAACACTCACTAGGGCGCCCAGCACCACCAGGTTCCAGGTTGCATCGTCATCTTTGGCATGATCTGTTGGGAAGCCAAGCAGCCGGGACATGATGGTCAGCACCTTGGCTGCCGAGAATACTACTCCTGTTTTGGAGGCACCAAAATAATCATCCACATAGCGGCAAGCAGGGGCTTTGAAGAGGCGCACCAAAATCAGCCACATCATGTGACCTACACGGTGCCATGCATACACGGCTGACACCGTGCCAAATGGCATCCCAAAATGCTGTGAGATCCATAATTGTCCATGAGACTTCCACACCGTCCATGCAAACTCATGGTGCTCAGCCGCCACAGGAACTCTTCGAAAAGCCTTTGAAATATCTCTTTTCCACATTTCTGCTGTCGTACCATGCATCATGAACTTCTGCAGAATGGAGACCAGCGAGTCTATTGAGTCGTGGTGGATTTTGTCGACCGGTGCGGTCGCTGTATTAACACCACTCTCAGTTTCATGGTCAACAATGCGGGTGCGCCATCCAGTCGATCTTTCTTCCCGCACTGGTATACGCCTGGTCAAGGACTTGTTGGCCAAGTCACCCGGCACCAGTAACCGCGGTGAGGACATGAAGCCACTTTCTGAATCTTCCAAAGTTTGCTCCAAAATATCACAACTGTGCGGCAATTCAACTAGAGACAGAAGAACCCGGTCATTGAAAACTTCACGGCCCGTCCTCAACTCCTCCACAGAAAGTAAAGGTATGGAGCAGGAAGCTGTAGCATACCCTTCACAGGGTGGAAGGCAGCCCACTAACGGAAAACCTTGCTGCAAAGCTGTTAAAAATAAAGACCCATCAACGTGAAGCTCATGACACAAGCACTGCCACAAAGGACCATGAATCCGGGCCACCAGCTGCTGCAAGTTTGCGGGAGCTTGCATGGCCCAGGTGTGCTGCACGGGCTCCAATTCTGCTGCAATCATCAAAAAGCGCTGCAGGAGATTCTGCCTAAATGCATCAATCTCACTACTCGACAGGGAAAGCTCGAAGGTGATGGCTTCCTCAAGGTCAGGCTCCATCACAATTGCTTCACATGCTGGATGCTGCACTTTGATGGCAAAATAGACATGCTGCACAGGTGTCAAGCCTTCAATGGCCCCAGCCCCCCATGGCACAAAGCGCGGACCAGACTGCGCAGTTTGCACCATTGCACGCTCCACTTGTTGCAACAAGTGCGGCAGGTCTGAGTGATGCACCGCCATGGGAACGGGCGATGAGGTATGAAGAGCAAGCTCCCTGGCAGCCAAGGCCTTCTTGAGAAGGTGTGCAAACCAACAGCCCAGCAAAGGCGGATAGGTCTGAGCCAGCCTTGTGCGAAAAACACGCCGACCCTCCCATTCCACAACTCCACGAAGTGGAATTGTTGGGCTAGGCCATTCATACACAGTTTGGTCCAACATGTGCAAAGTGGGCATGTTGTGCAAAAACAATGTGGGCTTCGAAAAAGGGACCCCAAAATCAGAATAGAAAATCTTCACCAATTCCACTCCCTTGAGAGCACGGAGTTTCACAAACGGATCCAACAGCCAAAGCCAGGATAGTTCAGGGTTTTCGACCGAGAAATAGCAATCCTGCTGCCACAGCAAAATGCACATATCAGCAGTAAATTCAAGGAGAGAATTTCCAGTTGCCACAAGCTCCGCTTGGTGTCCGAGCAAAGTGGACCGTCCAAAAGGAAACTCCGTGCTTCTCAACTGTGGTGCGCGAGCCCAAGTCAGTGATTGACGTGGCACTGCAAAGTGGGCAGCAGCAATTTTTCCCTGCGACGCTAGGA